TAGCCAATAAACATCTTTTAATGGATCATCGTGGCCGACTGCTCACTCTCAAAGTCAATCTTGAAACCTTACGGCGAAAGCTCGTGAGCCCACTTGTCAGACGCAATGACTCGGTAAGTTTTGCCGGATCCATTGACACAAGCAATGGTCGGAGTAATGGTCGGATGTTGGGTCCGGTTGAAGCGGTGATCGAAGGCCAAATCCGTGGACTGGAAGGCAGCTATGAATACCTGCGCAGTGTACGCGAGAAACAGAAAGCCAAACTGATGGAGCTGGTGTATGGATCAGGGCGCAAGATCCCGACCCATTCTATGCTCGCTGATGGATCAGACGATCTGGGATCCGATCTGATCGATGGGTTGTAGCATGATCGGAGGAGAAGATGAAGATGAAGATAAAGATAAAGGGGGCTTCATATACGTAAATGGGGGATCCCCTTTTACTCTGGTTCCCGGATTTTCCCCTTGTGTTCCATGTTCGTTCTTGTTACTGCAAGGCGTTGGTCCTGTCTCTACGATCGGCGTTACGGTCACTGCTCATACTCGGTCTTCTCGGATCTGCTCTTCTGGCTGGTTTCTTTGGTCTTTGGTTGGTTGGCTGGCTGGCGTCAACACGGATGCTCGGTCATCGCTTCTCTCATCTCTTGTGCATTGTGACTGGCGAAAGCGAGGCAAAAGCGATAGACACGTTGGTTAGCCTTTTTTTTTTTTTTTTTTTTTTTTTTTTTTTTTACGGTCTGTTTTGGAAGCTCCGCTGAGAATGGATATTAGGTGTTGGTTTATCTCATTTCTTGTTCATAATGTTGTTGGTGGATAACTGCAGGCATTTCGTGGTGTATTAAGGGTAGTTTTTAGCCTTCTTGGACAATCTAGCTCAATTTACATTACTTAAGTTTCCAGGCTATGAAAGTGTGTACTAGTACTCCTGATATTTCTGATTGTATGAGTTGTATGAGTAGGTTGGCTTAAGTAAATGTTGAGTTTTCAAGACAACTGTCAAACAGATCAAACAAAATCAAGTTGGTTGTGAGGGCACATAACAGTCAGGCTGATTCTGCCGGTTGAACACTTTCAGCCGGACTGGTTTGAAAAGTGTTCGAATCTGGTCCCCATACAAAACCCGTCGAAATGACCTCAGGAGGTTTCACTAGCGCGGTTTTGAGGCCATCAGGTGATGCTCCGCCTGCCCAATACGATACCGCTTTCGCCGGGCGGTCTCGAGATCCGGCCACTCATTTGTCCGACGCCGGAATGTTTTGTATTGAGTCCTCATCCATCCAAATCTAGCATTAAACCTCGCTTTAAATCAACACAAGATTCGCACCGCTCCACTCGGAGCTTTTTACTGTACAATATGCGCCTCCTTGCCACCGGCAGGGCCCTGCGCGCCACCAGCAGCAGATGGTCAATTGCCTCGAGCAGCAGGACCCTGCGCATGCGCATTCCACCCACGCACATCTCTCAGCCTCTCATCCTCCACCGAAGACCCTGGAGCTCCACAGCGACGCTCAGAACACACGATCAACAACCCGGCATTCGCGCGTCGGCCGCGAAGGAGCCTCTATTAATTGAAGACAAAACCTACCCGGTAGACCAATGGACGAACACCCCCGAGACCATCCTCTCCCACGTCGGACGACGCCTCTACCTCGACGAGAACCACCCGCTCTCCATCACCCGCAAGCTCATCGAGAGCCAATTCCCCGGCCCCGTCTACGGAAACTACCACGAGCCGAACCCGGTCGTGCCGACCGCGCAGAACTTCGACGTCCTGGGCTTCCCGCCGGACCACCCCGGCCGCAGTCGCACCGACACCTACTACATCAACGAGAAGACGGTGCTCAGAACGCACACCAGCGCGCACCAGCAGGCCTACTTCCAGCAGCTCAATCGCAACGAGATCTCGCGTCCCGAGGAAGTCGGATACACTGTCGTCGCCGACGTCTACCGTCGTGATGCCATTGACCGCAGCCACTACCCCGTCTTCCACCAGATGGAGGGCGCCATGCTATGGAAGCGCCCGGACACCGAGCCACTGCAGCATTCCCAAGCCACCGCTACCAAGATCACAGACGACCTAGCCCGCATCCCCACCCACGACGTCCCCGTCGAGGACCCCAACCCGACCATCCACCCGGAGCGCAATCCCCTCCAAGCCCAGCACCACAGCCAAGCAGAAGTCGAGGCCGTAGCCGCGCACCTCAAGCGCTCCCTCGAGCGCATGGTGATCAAGATCTTCACCGAAGCCAGCAAAGCCGCCGCAGCCGCCAACGGTTCCGATGCCCCCACCGAACCCCTCAAAGTCCGCTGGGTGGAAGCCTACTTCCCCTTCACCAGTCCGTCCTGGGAGCTCGAAGTCTTCTGGCAAGGCGACTGGCTCGAGATCCTCGGCTGCGGCGTCATCAAGCAGGAACTCCTCATCAACTCTGACGTCCCCAACCGCATCGGCTGGGCCTTCGGTCTCGGCCTCGAACGCATCGCCATGCTCCTCTTCAATATCCCCGATATCCGTCTCTTCTGGTCCCGCGACGAGCGCTTCCTCTCCCAGTTCCGTGCTGGCCACATCACCCGCTTCGAACCCTTCTCCAAGCACCCCGCCTGCTACAAGGACGTCGCCTTCTGGCTCCCCTCTGCCACCGCCAATGCCGCCGGCGGCATCGTCCCCGTCCACGAGAACGATATCATGGAGATCGTCCGCGGCGTGGCCGGTGACCTCGTCGAGGACGTGCGTCTCATCGATGAATTCACCCACCCCAAATCCGGGAAGAAGAGCATGTGCTACCGGATCAACTACCGCAGTCTCGAACGCACCCTCACAAACGAGGAAACGAATGATTTGCACGACCAGGTCCGCGACAAGTTGGTTAACTTGTTAGGTGTGCAGTTGCGGTGATTCCCGTTTTCATGAAATGGATCTCATTCTGTATGAATTATACCTCTTTTTCTATCTTATCTTGTAGAATATTGTGACGAAATACAAAACTTTACTCTTCACTTCTTAATCGAATATGACAATCAACTGGATGTATAATCGACTACTAAACATTACCCACGTACACGAGAACAAAAACATAATGACCGATCCAGTCAATCATCTATTAGATCTAGAACCCGTAAAGTCCCAGCTGATAACATCCTGACATTCAAGACCCCGTTGATTCAATGCCCAACCCAATGGCAAGATGCCAAACCCAACTTTTGTTTTTTTGTTTCAGACATGACATGACCAGATCATTGCGTGTAATATACAGTAGTTGATATATAGTGAGGAGAGAGGTGGAGATTCCAACGCCGATACAAAGCAACAGATGAAAAGAAGAAAAGAAATACGGAAGGAGAATAACCGGTGCGCCCCTCCTGTCGTTATGCGAATAACAATAAATGGTGTATCATACACATGCATTCATGGACAAGTGGTAATGAGATTCGGTATCACGGCTAGATTGTTGCCGTGAGTTATTCCCCGTCATGACGAAAGAGGTATTTGGTATATTATACAGGTAGAAAAGAAGACGATGAGGGAAGTAAAGTAGATTGGGGATGAGATATGTGTTCGTGAAGAGAGAAGTGGTTTAGGCGTTCTTGACGACACCGACCTTGGCAGCCTGAAAGTAATTAGTCAGTATAGTAGTTCACATGAGAAAGATTGTGGGCAAACTCACTCTCAAGACACGGCCGTTCAAGGTGAAACCCTTGCTCTGAGTGTACATGACATCACCGTCCTGCTTGTCCGGGGAGGGGGCCATGAAGGTAGCCTCGTGCCTGTTGGGGTCGAACTTCTGGGCGGAGCCATCCTCAGCGGGATCGCTGGGGTCGAAGCGTTCGAGACCGTGCTTCTTGAGGGCGTTCATGAGGATGTTCTGGGTCATCTTCAAGCCGGAGACGAGGTCCTTGATGTCCTTGTGTTCAGGGCTGTCGGAGGTGAGCTTGGCCTCGGGGACGGCGAGGAGGGCACGGTCGAAGTTGTCGATGCTGTCCAGGAGGTCGACGGCGAAGCGCTGGATGGCAAAGTTACGGGCGTTGTCCATATCACGCTTGGTGCGCTCCTGGAGGTTGAGGAAGTCTGCGACGGAGCGAACATATTTGTCCTGTGAATAGTGATGTGTTTAGTATGAGGGCTTTTGAACAGATGGGTCTGGGGAAGCTTCTACCTTCAGGTCAACGACCTCCTTCTCCTTCTTCTCCAGCTTGCTGGCGACATCATCGGTTTCAGCTGCGCCGTTCTCCTTCTTCTCTTCCGGCTTGGTTTCCTCGGACTTGTTCTCGGTGGAGTAGCTGCGAGCGGCAGGGAAACGAGCAAGTGGGCGGAGGGATTGCGGCTGCAACTGTGACGTGCGACGGACGGCCAGAGGGGCGGTGGTCGTGGAACGAGTGGAAAGCAGAGACCGAGCGGCCTGAGCTTGTCTGAGGATAGTTCTCTGGAACATTGTGGGGAGGAAAGGAGGAAAGGAGGAAAGGGAATGAACAATGGCAAAAGTTGGGGGGGGATCTAAAGCTGTGGTGCTGAGAAGATGGGGAAGCAGTTGTTGTACTTACTCTAGAAAACAGATATTTCGGAATCACCTGACCGCCTTGGCTTGCAGGGAAAATTCTCGGGCCGATCGGTTGTGAAATAAAAAAAAAAAATAATATAATATATAAAAATAAAATTCTTATTAAAAAAGATTTCTGTTCATTGACAGACAGTTTGCCATTGCAATTCAGAAATCATGTCCGTGAAGTTATAATACCTATGGGTTGTTGAAACCAATTTGCAGGTTCGTTCAGGTCCATGGCAACTGGACAGTCCAGACATACTTGCGTCACCAATTTGCGGAGGTAACAGTCTGTATTGCGTACAGTTCTGAAGACCCAAAGACTTTGTCAGGCTTCTAGCTCCAAATCATTTCTATATCTGATCGAATGGAACTGTTTGCGCTCAAACCTTAAATGTTGTACACATGCTTTCTGTCATGTATCTCACCTTATCAAATCTGCAAACAAGGGATCCACTAACCAGATACTCCCGTAACTCAGTTGGTTAGAGTATCAAGCTTATATGATCACTGTATATTTGCTAGATTATATGTCCTCTTGGAAGTCGGGAGTTCGATCCTCCCCGGGAGTATTCTTTTTTTATTTTTATCCTCCGGTCGGTATTACATGGCGAAAAAGTATTCATACTATATTATCTATATTTTTTTGATCTATTTTATCTTGTATGTTGATATTGAGTCTTTCACCTCCCTATTTGATATCTAAACTTTTCACCCACAAGTCTACTGAAGGCATGATCTATCATACCCTTTAAACCCGACTTCATATACAGCAAGGGAAGACCCATATCCTTTTGAGGTCCTACACTATACTTTGCTCACGATAGTTGATAACATTCTGGAAACGCAGCATTTCCGGACGATTACTGTAGATGCCCAAGTCGACGTATCATGAAACAGTATCACGCGAATTTGCGTATCTTGCAACATAGAAAAAATTGGTACAATCAGTACTTTGAATGTCGAGGTCCTTGTTACAAAGCCAATGTCCTATACTAGTAAATACTTTATGGCCTTACTTTTCGATCCTATCAAGCATGGAGATCCTCCAATCTCACTTTTTAGTTCTCAACTTGTAAGCTGAGATTACTAGAGGTAGCAGAAATAGACAATCCAGTAGGTTAAGCAAGGGCATATATCAGTCCTTTGCTATGGCTTGGGTGACTGGCTTGATTAAAATGGCTACCGCCAGCGATTCTGAGGCTTTTGACCTGGCTGGGTGTCAGCCGTGCAATTGCAAGTATATTTGGATCTCGGCCAACGACTAACATGAGAGTTCGGTCTCTCACCCAAAGAGACTACCAGACCTCATGATATCTCGTACCAGTGGAGCTCATTAGATCCATGTCTATTGACATGGTCCTTTTAAGCATATTATCTCCAACCAGAAGTCAAATGACCAGAAATGATCCAGACAGCTTGTGACCTCGACCTTTGATTCATGACTTTCCTCCAATCCATTGGTTTCAGTTGAAGCTGACCATCAAGCGTGAGCTTTTGTCCGTCAAGCGTAGTAGGTGTGTATCTGTGGATATCTGAATCGCGTCACCTCGTCACCCGGAAACCATGTATATTCATCTTTTGAGGCAGTGTAGATGTAACACAAATCAGGTTTTGAGAATTAGAACCATTACATCGACGAAATAAGCGCTAAACACCACACTGTATCTAATGAACGTCAGGGTCAGTGCCAGTATTCTATTTGCCAGAACCAAGCTCAAGGTTTACCTCCTGACTTCCAATACAGAGTCCCACGGGGATAAATTCAGTATCGAGTATGGCGGTCGGCGATACATGCGATCGATTGAACCATGGCAGACAGTCAACACCGCCTACTATGCGGCTAAGTTCAACACTTTGCCTCAACGTTGAACGAACGGCTCATGAGATCCAGTCATATGACACGAAAACATTATCGGCTTTGCTGTTCTCCAGAGGAACATAACTTTCTGCACTTTAGATCAACAGTAGGAAACCATATACAATCCTTGCTGAGGACGGTTACATCCAGTTTGCCAGACTATGCGATCATGCAGACAAGTTTGCTATAACTTGCAACCTCATCAACCACTACGGAGGCAGGATTCTGGTGATCCGACCGCTACCCTTGCTCTGAGGCCGGTGACCAAGGCCAGTCGTAGCGTCTCGCTAGGTAGACCCTAATGTAACTTAATGTTGGACAATCGTGTCATGGTTTTTAATCTCGTGTTGGAGCCCCTTGCTCTTCAAGCAAAGATACTATCGTGGAAAGATATCTCCTCGCGTGCTCCAGCGTGGAAAGCCGACGGACAACATAAGTGACTAATGAAGGGATCATCGTTTGAAATTGATGGGATTGCCCTCATTGTCAGAATCGGTGTCGCCGGTTCGAGAGCCCGAAATTTGCAAGTAAGACGGAGATAAAGGAACCCGTCGATCAATGAGCAGGATGGGGTTGACAATAAGCAAGGCGTCTTCGTACATTTTCATGTAGAGTGTATATGGTCTGCAAGTCAGCTACTTTCAATTCTTTCTAAGAAATTGGACCGAAGGATGCCGGGAGCTCAAGTTGTTGGTTGAGTGGAACGGAGAAGGGGTTGAGCTTGGTACCGATGACAGATTCCGGGGTGGCTATGCTATGTATGCTATGTATGCATAAAGAACAGAACAAAACTCCGTCAAATTGTTTCTGATACTCCGCCTTCAGGCAGACGGATTCTGCAAACAAATTTGAAAATATGATATAGTATATAAATTTTCTTTTCTCTTCTTTCTTTTTATGAATGAAGCAATATAGTCGTTTTTACACGGGGCTTGCTGAGCCTTGCTATATGACCGACATAGAATTGACAGCTGCCTATTTATTCTATTTTCAATCGTACCAAATAAAGAAAGAAAGAAGAAAGACACTTACGAACCCATATCCATGCGAACCAAGCAGTAAATTTTGACATGTGCTGGGGCATGGGCTATGGTAATGCATTATGAGACGATAGTGCGATGATAGTTCGTGCAGAGGCTTAGTAGAGAACGGAGTACAGAAGACAACATGCTGTCAGCCAAGTGCATGGAATTCCGACTGCCTAGAGTGGAAACCACAGATCACCGACAATTTTATTTCGGTAAAGACTGCCGCATTATGCAATGCGCAGCGGCGTGGTCACTGCGCAAAGGGTATGAGGCAATTGACACCCACTCCCGGGGCGGAGCTTCTAAGAGATTTTGCGGAGAGTAGTTGCAGTAGTCTGGAAAGTCCCCTTTTCCGGGCGATCCACCCAGACCATGGTTAACTGTGTTTGTTTAGAGTAATAGAGTTCGGACAGGAGACTGGTCATCCATAATATCCAACTATACAGAATATGCGGACATTTTGTAGATGACAACGGTGAAATCCGAGGAATATCTTCTTTTTTTTTTTTTTTTTTGTTCACACTCTCACTCACAATATTGAAGAAATATAGGAGATAAGAAAATTAAATTAAATTAAATTAAGTTATCATCTCCCAAGCATATCTGTTCTGGAGACTTCTTCTGCATTCGGAAATTAACTGTGGCAAGAAGTTAGTTAATCAGCCACAGCGGAGTGTCCTGTGTGGCAAAGAGAATTTCGAAACAGGCAGAAAAATTGGAATAAAGATTTATGGATCGACAGGAACCGGATTAGTCGTAATCACTCATTGTTTTTGGGGAGGCAGTGTTGGGGGGAGAATCTCTATTCAACGAGGCGCAGCACGATGCAGATGGGGAAAAGGTAAAACATAAAAAATTAAAAAAAAAAAAAAAAAAAAAAAAAAAAGGAATTACTATTGGACTCTTCCGGTATAAAAGTCCAGGTTGAGGACGGAATTCTTTGAACGGATTTGACAGAATCAATCAGAAACATTCACAAAGAATCAATTGGATCAAAGACAAGTTTTTGAAGTTTCTTCTTAGGTTTCCCATCATATCTCGTGACTTTTTATCAATCATCCACCGCCACTTACTACCACGAACTTTACCCGAGAGTAACTCTATAAGATCACCAACCTCTCTCATTCTACCATTTCTTCTCTCAACCCAATCCATATTTTCATCTCAATCCATCTCATCAATTAAAAAAAAAGAAGAACATGATTGGAATTACCATGTCTCCTCCGAACTCAATGCCGTCTTCTCCCTCCTGCAACAGAGCCTCTCGGTCCTCCTCAGCATCGAGCCGGCCGACTCTCACTCTCGATCTTTCCAATTTACCCACACTATCTCAACCCGCTCTTCCAACAAACACTCTCATCATCACCGAACTTAGCGACATTCTTCTCTTCCAACCTGACTCTCTGGCCACCATCCGTGCTCAGCTCGAATCTATCGCACCCCTGAACTCTTTCTCCCCGCTCCCGTCCCTCCGCCGGATCATCTGCTCATTCCTCTCGGAAGACGATGCACTCCGCGTTCGGCAACTCCTCGATGGCCAAACCCTCGACCGCAACGTTCGGCCAAGGATCTACTTCGGCGAACCCACCCCCATCCTAGACGAGGAATCTCATCGTCCCAAGCTCCTTGAAGCCCCCCAACTTGATAAGCTCTTCTTCATCAGCCCGCCTCCAAGCCCCCCACACGGATGGGTCATGCGCACTGAAGAGCCTCCGAACAAAGAGGTTCATGCCAGTGACCTGGCTTCGGCCCTTGCCAAGCTGAAGACCGAGCAATCCACCCCTGAAGTGGTCCAGTCCGTGGAGCCCGGTACGCCCATGTCTATGACTTCCGATAAGCGTACGGGAAGCTGGCCGGTCGCTATGTCGGGACAACGGAGCAGGAGCAGCACTCTCATCTATCACCCCGAGGATCATGGCGGAAGCCCCAACCTTCCGGCTGTGATGGTCGAAGATACAAGTGCTACCTTTGAAGTTCCCGATATTGAGATGAGTCCGATTGAGATGTCGACCAAGAAAATGCCCCCCAAGACAGCCCGCCCTCCCGTCGAGCTCATGGGCTAAACCGAGAGATTCGGGGTATTTTGACAACTTTTCTGAAAATACGTCTAATGCTTTGCACTTTAGCGTGTGCATTTTACCTTTTTTTGCATATATACATGATCTTCCTTCTCTGTGATGCATTGACCGTGTTCATTGATTATATTGACCTTCATGTTCTTTTTGTTTTTCTTGGTTTGTTTTTTTTTTTTTTTTTTTTTTTTTTTTTTTTTTTTTTTTTTTTTTTTTTTTTTTTTTTTTTTTTTTTTCTGTTTGCTCTATTATGCCATGGGTTGGCGTTATCAAAGGCCTTGCGATTGTATAATTCTGGTCACGAAGCATATGGAGTCGGGTCTGGGTGAATAAATTACACCTCTTACGGCGTACAGAAATTGGGATTAGGTTTCAACTCCAATATCATCTTACTATTTTACTATACTTGCAGCTTTTGTTCGTAGCATCCAAGATTTGCAACACCCCTTTAGTCAAATAACACAACAGCGCTTTCATGAAAGAGGTTCGGGCCGAGTGATGCAGCAAGTTCAGCAATAATCCCTTTTACCGACTGGGGATGGTCAATGGGCATTTTCTCCCATCCCACGAGATCCTAGATTCGTTGATGTCAGCATTGATGTCAGGGGAGA